CGTACCAGACCTGCCCTCCATCCACCGGACACTCTTCACCCAATCCTTATGCTGGTCTTTCTCTTAGGCAGGGCCACTCCGTGCTCATAAATCTCACCAAGTGGTCAGAGCCACTTCCTCGCTTCTGGGAGCAATGCCTTTTCATCTTTGTAGGGCATGTAGCCGTACCCCAGCTCCCAATAACAAAACTCACGCCAATAGGCCTGTTTCAGCCTTTGAAGCTAAAAACCGTTCTAGAATGGCCTCAGCCCCCCTGGGTGGGGCCACTTTATACATTATATGTACATTATCCTCCATGACACCATCTCCCAATACACAGGCACCGTTTCGGTAATTTATATTTTTGTAGTTGTGTTAAGAAATTGCTATACTAAGTGCCATCCGGGCTCATCACAGCCACGATTTAAACGGTCGCCTATCTCCTCTTTGATTTTCTGTATTGTAGGAATCGACGGAAAAATTTCGAGGGACCTTCGGCTTAGCAGCTTTGCGCACTACGCCAACTACTCCCTCTCTATTCTCCCTTGTCGGTTTCCTATTTGGTAGGTATGGATGCCCCGATACTACAGTATTTTGTCATCTCTCATCAGCAGGTATAATGCTGGACTCCGTATATGTAATATATAATACCATAGCTATAATGCCGAGGCACAATTTGTCAAACTAAGATTAATTCATTGTCGATTTATTATTATCATTATCATTATTATCATCATCGTCATCATCTTCTGGAATCACGATACTTAAACGAAATACGTTTTATTTTCGAAATTTAAGAAATTATCACATTCGAGAAAAATGAAAGGATATGCAAGTGTTAGGTTTTTACAAAAGAAGTTCATTTAACAATGGACGTTTTACATACAACTCTCAAGATACAACTCTCAGACAAGGACAGACAGCTGTCCCTCTCGCTTTCTCTCCGTCGGACGAAAAATTCGTCGCGTTTCTCGTTGATAGTTGTTACAAGAGTTAATAATCGTTGCATCTTCACTGGGACGGGGTCAAACCAGCAATGATCTCTATAGCTGGTTGATGTATGACTGTCTTTTAAGTTAACCGGGGGGTGCTTGAGAGTTGTATGTAAAACATGCGATTGTCCCTTGTTAAATAAACTTGTTTTCTAAAAACCTAACACGGTTATGGGCCCAGCAAAGAGCGTATAAGCACGCCTATGAATTTATAAGACTGATCAGCGTTAGAATTTTTCAAATAATATTTATATCTGTTCAGAATTAGTCGGAACGATGAAGAAACTTGGAGATGTTACACATCGAACGTTACAGTTTGTATCGAATAATGACCGCGATTATTCTTAAACAAGTTTCACGGGTTAAATATAGTCAAGAACAAAACAAGATATTCCTGTGGTTGCTGTGACAACAAAGAAAACGAGTAAGAGAACAAACACGCGGTCTTCATGATTGTATTAATTATGTAGGAGACAATATAAAACGCTGTTACGTATATTTTGTACTTCGTTAAACAATTAAAAATAACAAAAAGACATTAGAATTGTAACATGTAGAATAAACATACACAGACATGTGGGCGCGCGCACGCGGACTATATATGTGTATTTAATTTTTTTATACATAATATGTATATCGTCGAGTATTTTTTGCTTACAATTAGATAAAGATGGCGGGAAATTGAGCGACAGACAAAATGCGTTATGCTTTTGTGTTCGCCGAATATATTACAACACCAGTTTTGAACGTTGCATTGAAATGTTAAGTTTCTTCCTCCATATTTTTCTCTACCTCTTCCTCCCGCCGCTTCTACCGGTACTATCCTTTTATCGATCAACTTGTTACGGATTTACGAAACGTCTAATTCTTTCTTCGACTCTTCGTATGTGATGTTAATTCTAATTAATTTTAATATATCTGTATAAAAGTTGTTAATTATTTATGAATGACCCTTCTTGTAAATAGACGATCACTTCCTTTCTTCTACATTACAAGAGTTCGTCGTGTTCAATTGCTAATATTGCGTACAAGACTTTTATTCTGCGGAGCAGTACGGCATAATGATTTTAGCGTCTATTTTTCGGGTTTTTTAGTTGGTTTTTCTCTTTGAAATTTGTTCTAAGATAACATAAAACAGTACTCAAAAGTAGTGTTTGCCAATGACAAGCGAAAACAATGCTAACCTGCCCAATTTCACTCATAATCAGTTCTCTTCTCTCCTTTCCTTTCGTCGATATAAACCCCAGACGAAGTACAGGATAGACCTAACATCTATTTATATACACAAGTACTTACTTAAGTACATATATAATGTATTCTTGTGTCCAACGTTCTGAAATACCGATTGTGTAAAAAATTCAAGGATTTGTTATGCCCTTTACGATATAAAGCGGTGAGTTTAGGAATTGCGTACAATCCAACCATCGAAGATGGTAAAAAATTGACAGATGCAAAAATCATATGTATTATAAGATAAGTGTACAAAATGTATTTTATAAAAAGTTACAATATACCAGTATTGTCTTACAGTATTTTACAGTCTACATATTTATTTTTCCCTTACACACCATGTCCATATCAATTTGCATAAATCATGTTAAAGGAACTAAAAATTATAAATTATCAATATTCAATTATTAAAATGCCTGCAGCATGCAATTGTTTATTCAATATGAAATTAACAAATTAAGCTATTTTATTAAGTTAAAGCATGCAACAATTTTATTTAAGACTTCCATATAATTATAATCGAGTAGATTAGAATTTAAAATAGAATTATTATGTAACAAGGAACACTAATTATTCAATAATAACAGTATTTCAAAATATGCCCTAAACTGTATTTTACTATTTACACAATTAGTAATGTTGAAGCAATTAAAAATGTATTACAAGTATCAGTAGAATATAATAAAAATGACGAGGATAGCAATAGCGAAGAGGCAAGGTAGATAAGGATAGCACTGAAGAAACGAGTTAGACAAGAAAAGGAATGAGGGTAGACAAGGATAACACTTGGGAAATGAGTTAGACAAAGAGAGATATAAGGATAGACAAGGACAGAAAGTGTGAAAAGTTAAACTAGCGCCATCTCGCGTCTGGTGTCGCTGACTACGACTTTTTAGTAGGAACACAGAATATAAACAGAGGTATTAGACAAGGAAAGCACCAGTGTGCGACAAGGATAGAGAGAACGTTTCCTATTGGCTGACTGGTTGCTGAGCTCCGCCAATCAGGTCCTAAGTCAAGCCGGTTGGTGAAAAATCATTAATAACTCGATAATTACCATTATTTTGTGAACTTTTAGAATTGAAGAATGAAGTGCGGACCTTTAGTAACTTTCAGATATAGATTTTGTTATATTAAATGCTTTCAGTAATTAGGTATTAACAATTATTGTGCGGAGTGTCGATAGCGGTACCGCATACCCCTTTGGTTTTTCTTTAATTTCGTAGCATTGTACAAATAATTTATGCAGTTTCATACATGCGTTCGAAAGGCTATTTCTTTAGTTAGCTTCTCACTGAATTTTCATTAACATATTCGTCGTAATTTTCGAGATATTAAACATTATTTGGGTAAGTACTACACTCGTCGCATTCAAGCGTAACACTTTTCCATCATTTTCATTAATTACTCAATAATTACGATGATAGTGTGCACTTTTAAAATTGACGAATGAAGTGTGGACCTTTAGCAACTTTCTTATATAGATTTTAATGCTCTAAACCCGTTCGATAATTAGTTATTAACAGTTTTAGTACGTGATGTCGGGAACGATACCGCACACCTTTACGGTTATTCAATAATTTCATAGCTTTCTACTAAATTCTGATGCAACTAACTGTATGCGTCTGAAAGACAACTCCTTTATTAACATATCCGGTTTAGTTTCAGAGCTATTAAACATTATATGAAAGAGTCCCTATTCATCGTATTAGAGTATAGTTAACTGTTATAAACAATTGCTAATATCTAATAAAGTACACCACTTATGGCTACAAAACTAATTGCAGCATATAGATACAAGTCCATTCTACATTCTACATGCCTCAAAGTGCATAATTAGTCACGCATATCTATTGCAATAACAAAAATGTGTTACGATTGAATACAACGGGTGTAATACTCTTCCAAAGAATATTAAATAACTATCAAACCATAAAGGATACGTTAATAAAAATTATACGAGAATATAGCCAAAGGAGTTGCCTTTCAGACGCATACAGTGAGTTATATGAGAATTGAGCAGAAAGCTATGAAATTATTGAAAAACCGTAAAGGTGTGTGATATCGCTCCCGACATCACGTACTAAAATTGATAATAACTAATTGTCGAAAGAGTCTAGTGCACTAAAAGCTATATGAGAAAGCTGCTAAAGACGCACTCTTCATTCTTCAATGTTAAAAGTTCACAAATTCATCGTAATTATTCAGTTATTAATGATTTTTCCCTGGCCAACTTTATATAGTTTCTGGGAGGCTGCCATTACGGCTCGCGGACCAATAGGAAACGTTTTCTCTCTATCCTTCTTGCACACTATTGCTTTCCTTGTCTAATACCTCTGTTTATATTCTGTGTTCCTATTAAAAAATCGTAGTTCGCATCACTAGGCGCAAGATGGCGTTAGTCTCGCAGGCCATTTTTGCCCCCTCTATCCTTGTCTATTCCTATGTCTTTCCTTGTCTAACACATTACTCTAAATAGTGTTATCCTTCTCTATCCCTACATCTTTCCTTGTCTAACTCATTGCTCTAAACAGTGCTATCCTTGTCTACCCGTATACCACGGCAACTATTAATTGTACTTATATCACCTTCTTTCGACAAAAATTGCACAAAAATTAACCATTTAAAAATTAACCTAACCATTTTCGTATCGCACCTTACTGTATCGACTGCGACTAGTATTATATCGTTGCGCTTTAAGTGGTAGGAATTGAAATGGAAACGAAATAAAAGAAACAGAATTTCGAATCTTATTTAGGATGAATCAGAATTCATTCATGCACATTTGCGTTTCGTGATCCAAGAGTGTATTGACAACACAGTAACAATGTACATGCATAATCTTGCCTGGACGCTACATTCCGGATTTATGTACATACTTCCTGACCAATATCATTCCTTTTGTCCAACGCCGTTCTCAAGCGTAGAGTGTGCTTCAAAACCAGTGGTTTTGAACGATGTCAGTACTTCAGATCGTGTGACAAAAAGGCCCTTAAGATGATTGGTCTATCCTATATATCATCTGTGGTTTTATTCTCCCGATGACGAGTCATCATATTGAACTTTATTGATTCGGAAGGTACATTCGTTGTCGTCTTTGCCTTTCTCCTTTGACTCATGCTTCTTTTCCTTTCCTTAAATTCTTTCGTTTGGATATTTTTTGATTTTGCTGCTTGCTGCTGCTGTATGGTTCTACTTTTTTCATGGTCGCTTAATGTAGATCTCATAGCATTTATTACTGGCGATGGGGAAAAAAGTGTCGGCAAGGAACATTTTTGAACAAAAATTCCCAGTACTTTTCCACATGTCCAAGAATCGATCGGTGGTGGTTGTGGTTTGACATCAATAATTAAATGCGTTGCTCTTCTTCTAGTTACGTCATATTTCCAATAAGGATCTAGCCTAAAAAATGCCCACTGTAAAATAAACTAAGGCTGGAGAGAATAGAAACTGCAGAAAACTTGAAAAGGTTCGAAATTGATAGTTACGTCGAACAATCGTAGCCAAGCTGTACGAACACACAGGCTGCTAAATTCGAACAGTTTCTCTTCGAAATGACCTTTCCTATGAATGCACGTGATCGTGAGGTTAAACATTTCTTCCCGAATGGCAGCAATGCGATGTTCCGTTAATTGATTTCGCACAAATTCTTGCCACATTGGTTCTCGAACATCGGAAATGATCAAATGAAACATGCTTAAGAATCGATACTCCAGCCAAGTACATGCAGTGCTTTCTTTCGGACTTAATAAAGGGTTCATTTTTCTTTTTCCACTCATCATTTCGCTTGCGTTCTCTGAAGGGTCATTGGGTGCTAATGCGATTAGCGTTAGTAATAAATTTACTATAAATTTATTAATATTGCATTATTTAGAAAGAGATCGAATTATTACTACGTATCATGGGGCTTGTTATACTTTTTATCAAATTAAATTGTATGTAGTTAATACGCTTGAACGTTTTATTTTTTTCTTTACGTATTTATTGTCTTAAAGTATTTATTTTCTCTTCCTATAGAATGTACAATAATACGCGTAACAAACGGATACAGTTTGTCGGTGTATGAAAGTTTTTTACAATCAAGGAAATTCCATACGCATTTTATCACTGTGCGTGCGTATATGCGCGAGTGTATGCATGCGTGTTTTGAAAAATAAATATCCTGTAATAAATTTTTTTTAAAGTGAGTCTATGTGTACATATTCGTGTGGCGTACACATTGTACTACGATGTACTGACGATAGCATACTAAAAGCTACAAATTAAAAAATAAGAAAAAACACCGCGAGGTCGAATACAAAATGCTACTTTTACGTAAACTTTTGCACTGTTTAGTACTAGCTTCAAAAAATGCGGTTTACAGGTTTTATTTCGATTCTGTTAATATAAGTAACATTCGACGTATGGTCGTTCGCTGAAATTGTATTGGTCATATTACATTTTAAAACCGATTTTAATCGCATAGAGTGATTCGTATTACCTCGTGAAACAAGCAAGAAATATAAAGGAGAATACGAGGTAGATCTACGATTATTTCTTCTTGATGCAGCTTAGAGCGCTACTCCTTTAATTATTCTCTCCCACAGAAACGAATAAACATCGGACGGGATGGCAACTCGTGATACGACGTGATACAACTCAAAACAAAAATGCAAAACTTCTCGCACTTCGGTTGTCACTTTTCGGCGATTCCCAAAGCGAAACACACACACATACACGCGCGCGCGCAATCATACACATACATGCATGCACACGCGCGCGCGCGTGCGCACACACACACACACACACACCTCGATTCTCGATGCTTTCGATATCGCGAGAGAACGTGCGATAAAATAATACTGCTTCACTTTCTCTTGTTCTCGCGTTTCTCTTTTGCTCATTAAACAGTACTACTAGCCTCCTACCTACCGTACTGCATCGATCGCGTTCTTTACATCATGACTTAATCATCACGGGAAGGCAAAGGAGAACATGTTAGGAAAAAGGAAAAAAAAAAAGGACAAAAGAGAAGTAGTCATCGAGTTCGAACGGACGTACGACGGCGCGTGGCAAACATTCACGTTTTAAGCCACAACACCGGTTATAACACCACCGGATACAGGAAGACCAGTTTCTCCCATTAGGGCTAAATCTATTTCTCTTGCGGCTAGTCTACCTTCTGTGATCGCCCACACCACCAAGGACTGTCCTCGCCGGCAATCTATAATGAAGAACAGTATGTAACGAGTTAACCACCAATAGGTAAGAATAGGATAAGAACGTTGCGAAAACTTACCTCCCGCCGCAAATATTCCAGCTAAACTTGTTTCGTATTGACCGATCGGTGTTTTGTAGTTACCTCTCTCATCCATTATCATATTTAACTCTGTCGCGATATATTTTTCTGGACCCAGGAAACCCATCGCGAGTAAAACCAGGTTACATTTGTATACCTACTTGCGAAAAATGAGAAAAGAAAAACGAAGAGCAAAAGAACCGAAGAAGGTAGGAAAAAGTATAGTTATGAATCACGTATGTATGTACATTTTCGTGTATTTTTAATTCTCTTACCTTTTCTGTTCCAGGAATTTCTTCCATTTTCCAACGACCGTTCTCCATCGTCCATGAAACTGATACTGTTTTGATGCCACTTACGTGGCTATTACCATCGTCTAAAAATTCCTATGGGAAGCATACAAAATGTAAGAGAATTATGTTGTCAAATTGAAATTATTTTGTGCGCAATTAAAAACTCTTACACACCTTACTCAATGTACTGAATTGGCGTGGATCTCGGCCAAACTTAAGCGAAACTTCTTCGTGACCATAATCCACTTTAAATACACGCGGAAATTGGGGCCAGGGATTATCTTGACCTCTTTTACTTGGTGGTTCCGGTAAAATTTCAAAAGTAGTAATCGTTTTGGCTCCCTGAAAAGATAATATGAGGTAATCAAAGAAATAAGGAATTTCTTCAGTTTGAAGAAGGCACGTGAGCTAAATACAGAAATGGACGAGTGATTGCACCTGCCGTAAAGACGTAGCTATGCAGTCACAACCAGTGTCACCGCCACCTATTATAATGACATCTTTATCTTTAGCCATCAGTCGCATATCTAGCGGAGCATCGTTCCCCATTTGTTTCTTCTGCCAATGTTCCAGGAAGCTTACAGCAAAATGAATACCTTCCAAATGTCGACCTGGTATTTGCAAATCTCTTGGCCAAGTTGCACCAGTGCACAATAAAACTGCGTCGTACTGTTCGTGTAATTCCTACAGAAAAAGAGTTGGTTGGTGTTGGTGGTGGTGGTGGTAGTAATGATGATGATGATGATGATGATGATGATGATGATGATGATGATGATGATGATGATGATGGATGATGATGACGACGATGACGATGATGGAGACAATCATAGTAGATGTAATGTAATTATAAATCTGAAAAATTTGATTTTCACACCTTAACGGAGATATGTTTTCCAACATCAACGCCCGTCTTAAATGTTATACCCTCTGCTGCAAGAAGAGAAACTCTTCTTTGCACAACTTGTTTCGATAGTTTCATAGTTGGTATGCCGTACTGCAACAAACCCCCGATTCGGTCGTTTCTTTCGTAAACGGTTACCAGATGGCCCGCCTTATTTAATTGATGAGCTGCTGCTAAACCAGCTGGACCGGAGCCAACTACGGCTATTCGTCGATCGGTTCTTGTTGTTGGTGGATGCGGTCCTATCCAACCTTGCTCGAACGCGTAATCAATTATCGCGCATTCGATGTTCTTGATCGTAACAGCTGGTTCCGATATACCCAACACGCAGGCTCCTTCACACGGAGCAGGACAAACTCTTCCTGTGAATTCTAAATGCATACGACACGTTTTCGTTGAATTAATATAAAAGCAGGTCAATCATTCGCCTAAAGCTATACAAGCTATACTATTAATTGACTTTTCATCACTTTCAGCAACTTTTATAATTCTAGATTCTAGTTACACGTACCAGGGAAATTATTAGTTTGTAGCAATTGATTTAAAGCCTCTTTCCAATTCGACTGAAAAACAAGATCGTTCCATTTAGGAATGATATTTCCCAACGGGCAACCATGACTACTTTGACAAAATGGTACGCCACATTCCATGCACCTCGCTGCCTGTACACGCAATCCTTTACGGACTCCTTGAAAATTGTAAATTTCATCCCAATCGGCAATTCGGTTTTCCGCCGGCCGATAAACGCTCATTTGTCTCTTATATTTCATAAATCCTCTAAAAATAATGTACAAATCATAATAAAATAATATGCCGTTGGATCGAAAGACGAGCTCTAATTTGTCTGACAAAGTCTATTCCATCCAGCTAATTGTACCTTATTTTATCCAATTTACGTTGTTCCATATCAACATCTGCAACAACATCCTCGATATCTTTAACTCGATCGTTTAACTGATCGTGAGAATTTCCATTCAGAATCGGTTGTACTTGTTTAGCTTCTTCGAGTTGCTTCAACGCCCGCTGATATTCGTATGGAAATACCTTTGATGAAGTAAAAGAATGTTAGTAGTAATCAGCATACACACACACACACGATCGATCGAAAGTACTGTACACACTACCTTAACGAATCGCGTCGTTGGTTCAGGCCACAACTTTAAAAGATCTAGAGCTACCAGAGAACCGGTTTTCTCAAGGAACTCGTCTAAAAGTACCTTCACGTATGCTATATCCTCTTGTTTATTTAAAGGAAGCAGTTCCACCATTTCAGGATTACATTTGCTGTGTAAAAAGTAACGGGGTCAAATATGTATGCTTGTAATACGCATGGTAAAAGGTGGAAAAGAGAGCGCGGAGTGGGGGCAATACTCGATCCTCATGGCAGCTTGTACCTTTTGAACGATCCGTCTACATCTAACACGTAGGCTATACCACCAGACATCCCGGCCGCGAAATTTCGTCCAGTAAGTCCTAGAATAATTGCACAACCACCAGTCATGTACTCGCATCCATGATCTCCAACGCCTTCGACCACAACTGTCGCTCCACTGTTACGAACACTGAATCTTTCGGCAGCGATTCCTCGGAAGTACGCTTTGCCAGAAGTTGCACCATAAAGGCAAACGTTACCAACGATTACATTCGCATCAGACTTGAATATAGAATCCTTTGGTGGATATATAACGATCTCTCCTCCACACAGACCCTAAAAAGTACGAATATAAATAACAAGAGTGTTGGGTGTGACACAACAGCGATGATAATATTCTCCGCAGGGAATTATTTACTTTGCCAACATAATCGTTGGCATCTCCTTCTAGAGTAACGTGAATGCCCTTCGTCATGAAAGCACAGAAACTCTGACCCGCAGAACCTTTCATTTTTATGTTGATGCTACCTTCTGGAAGTCCTTTTTCTCCGTACAATCTGCGCACAAAATAAGGGAAGTTAGGAGTACATTTGGTGAACAAGAAAGTTTCGGAGAATCAAGAGAGAGGGAGGGAGAGAGAGAGTCACTTACTTTGAGATACGATAACTCAAAGTCGATGCAAATGCCCTACTCTCGTTATTAATATTTAACTCGATGTCAACACTATCCTTTTTTCCATTTAACACATCCGAGGCCAACTCGATCACATGATTATCCAATCTGTTTTCTAATTGAAAGTCTTGTTTTACCGATCCCCCCTGGATATTTATTCCTGGTCGGAGTTCAAGTGCATTACGCAAAATATTATCGAGTCTTAACGTTTTAGCTTTCTCTACCGAGATATCACTGCGTATTTTCAACAGATCTGTACGGCCAATTAGATCTTGAAATTTACGTAATCCCAAGCTAGCCATGTACGAACGTACCTAATAAGAAAACAAGTGATCACTTAGCACCTGACAGATGTGATTTAACGCATCTGTCCTAACAAACACACTTATCCAATTGTAGGAAATATAATTCCTATATTTCTATTCTCGGAACATATACACACCTCTTCTGCCAATGCGAAGAAGAAATTAATCACATGTTCCGGTTTTCCTTCGAATTTTTTTCGAAGCGAAGGGTCTTGCGTTGCAATACCCACAGGACAGGTGTTTAAATGGCACTTTCTCATCATGGTGCAACCCATAGAAATTAAAGGTGCGGTACTAAAACCAAATTCGTCAGCACCTAAAAGAGCCGCAACCACTACATCGAATCCTGTACGCATTTGCCCATCCGCTTGAACGATGACACGTGATCGAAGGTTATTCAAAGTTAAAACCTGATGGGTTTCCGCAACTCCTAATTCCCACGGTAACCCGGCATATTTTATATGATATAAAATTAAAAGAAAAAGCACATCATATACACATATCTAGAAAGAAAGGAAGAAAGAAGAGAAACATTACCTTTGCCACACCTGCTGCGACTACACCTACTCCTACTTCCGACACTAACTTGACAGAAATACGCGCATTGGGATTTGCGCACTTTAAGTCGTAAATCAATTCTGCAAGATCCTCGATCGAATAGATATCGTGATGTGGAGGTGGCGAAATTAAACCTACGCCGGGTACCGAATGTCTCGTCGCAGCGATTTCAGCGGTAACCTGTGTGAGGACATAGGTCACGTATTATACAGATGTACGTATAATTTCATTTGTTATTCTCTATCGTACCTTATAACCAGGCAACTCGCCTCCTTCTCCAGGCTTTGCTCCTTGTGCCATTTTAATTTGAAGATCGTCAGCGTTTGCTAAGTAACTCGAGGTTACACCGAACCTACCGCTGGCAACTTGCTTAATCGCCGATCGTTTGTTGAACTCTGGATCTTGATTCAGATATCTGAATGACAGATTTAGTACCATGTAAGACATTATCAGTTGATCCTTTACGAGCACATGAGCACCACCTGTGCGTGTATAACACAAATTACCTGTCAGCATTTTCACCACCTTCACCGGTGTTCGATTTACCGCCGATACGGTTCATCGCGATCGCTAAAGTCGTATGTGCTTCTATAGAAATGCTTCCAAAACTCATAGCTCCGGTTACAAATCGCTTCACGATTTCAGACGCTGGCTCAACTTGTTCGATGGGTACCGAGTTTTCTGTCCTTTCTACTAGTTCCAGTTGACCTCGTAACGTGCAAGCTTTCACCATTTCCATCGTAGTTTTCTGGTATTTCGCATAAGCGTTCTGTTTCTTTGAACTTACGTAATCCTAAGAAAGTTGTGCGCAAAAAGAAGAAAAGTATTTTTTTACGTTAACAAAAAGTCCAACCACTATTAAATAATACTATTATGCAAATTTACCTGCAAATTAGCAATACTATCTGGATCGTTTATATGTTTTTCTCCACCAGATCGCCAATGATAAATGCCTGGATTTCGAATAACAAGCATATCCATAGGTTTTCTCCAGTACGTGATTTGATGCCTTTCAAACGCTTCTTTCGCTAAAATATCAAAGGTAACTCCACCGATGCGAGATTGTGTGCCCTGTATAAATAGTAACGGACGGGAAATTTGAAAAGAAAAAATAACGAAGCATCACTAATATAATACTTATACGCTGTGGTGATGTATATGTATGTACATATATACATATGTATACATATATAATATGTATAATGCACATATGTATACATATATAATATGTATAATGCACATATGTATACATATATAATATGTATAATGCACATATGTATACATATATAATATGTATAATGCACATATGTATACATATATAATATGTATAATGCACATATGTATACATATATAATATGTATAATGCACATATGTATATACAGTACGTCATTAAAAATGTTGAATCACAACTGATCGCATTCATTAATTGGATCCAGTTTATAATCATTCGTACACTTCCATCACATCGTTTTCAATCGTTGTGGAGATGCTTAGAAGAAAACGTACCTTGAAACATTTCTCGATAACTTGGTCAGATAAACCGACTGCTTCGAATATTTGAGCTCCTTTATACGACTGTAACGTAGAGATTCCCATCTTTGCCATTACTTTTCCTATACCCCTCTCCATTGCTACGGCATAGTTCTGAAACGACATTCTCGTTCTCTTCTCTGTGTTTCATTGGTTTCACATCAATCGTTAGAAAGTGCAAAATGCAAAGAATGCGGACGAACTTACCGCGCATAGAGCGTTGTCGGTCAACGACGAATCGAGTACACCGTCTGCTCGAAGATTTCTTGCCATTTCGAACACGAGATACGGACAAATGGCATCTGCCCCGTATCCAAGTAACAAGCAAATGTGATGCACTTCTCTAGCCTCACCGGTTTCCAGAATGAGACCAACCTTCATACGTTGTCGTTCTTCGATTAGATAATGATGCACTGCACCCAATGCCAGCAGGCTGCTCACAGGCACCCTGGTAACATACAACGGAACATCATATCGTTGAATGTCGATACATTCAAGGAAAGCAAATACATAGGATTAGATAATAGGAGCGTGTTCTCACACCTTTCCGGACCAGCCTCCCTATCAGAGAGAACCAGAAACTGATAACCTTGTTTCGCAGCCCGATTAGCTTCTTGACTAACACGATTTAGTGTATTCATTAATCCAGATGGACCATCTTCCACAGGATACGTTGCGTCGATCACTTTAGTTTTCCATCCACGATATTTCGTTCGTTTGATTATCTCAAGGTCCTCCAAGGAGAGTATCGGTTGTGGTAAAAATAATCGATGCACTTGTAGTTCGTTTGGTTCGAGGATATTGCTTTCAGGCCCGATAGGACAAAGCATCGACATTACGATCTTCTCTCTGAACGGGTCTATCGGAGGATTTGTGACCTAAGAAAAATTTGTTGCAAGAAAACCAGGAAGGAAGAAAGGAAGAAAGAAAGGTGGATTGTAGCTTTCCATGATAATCAGGGTTCTATTTTTCTTCATTATAAGTAAAACTGTTCTACCTGAGCAAACAACTGTTTAAAGTACTCGTAGATAAGCGGTTGAAATTGAGAAAGACAAGCAAGTGGCGCGTCGTTACCCATGGAACCCAATGCTTCTTTCCTGAAGAGTAATTTTTCAATTTCAAATATAATACGTACAGCACCGTGATACATATACCTAATTTCATAGATTTCTCACATACTTGGACTGCATCATCGGCAAAAGAAGCATATTAATGGTTTCAAGGGTGTATCCATAAAGGGACAGCCTTTTATCGCCTCCCCAAACTCGATTCACAGCGGATATCGGATTGGTATCGTTCATCGCGTTCCTTTTGGCTACTTCTTCCGTGACAGTTATCACCCTATTTTCGACAGCGTTCGATGCTTTTCTACAATCGGCATCAGCATCGCGAAGATCTTCCATTCTGATCTGTGTACAAAATGTGATAAAGTAGGCATAAAGTTGTGCTTATTACTACATATGGATAATTGACTAAACCGGTATTCGGTGGTATCGTATAAAATTGACTAGAAGTGCATCCGTAAAATATAGAAATAAAGCAAACATGAGATAAAGGATCTGAAGACTCACCATCTGTGTGCGATACAGCACGAATGATCACATCACATAAGATTGTTTGCAAGAAAGAAACGAACAGTTTTTTCATTAAATATATCCCTTTATCACAGTGATGACAGTAATAGTAACGCGTATGCAGATAAACAGAGGTAAAGAGATTGAACGTGAGAGAAGAGGCAACAATGTATGAAATATGAAGATGACGATGAAAAACAAAACAGGGAGGATACCTGATCTTTCACCCACTTGGAGTGAGGCCTACTTCTAGCAATTTGCAGCTTGAGTTCAACGTCCTCTATAATTTTCTTCTCGTGTGTGTCGACTAGTAACATTCTTCCGGGTTTCAAACGACTCTGTAAATAAAACGAAATGCAAATAATCATTCTCGGATAATATTCACGACCATTCAACATTTATACGACAGTACTGGATGAAGATCCTAAAAATCTATATAAACCTAATCTCTAAATGATTAATTACACAATTATGTAATATATGTATGTATGTATGTACGTATGTATGTACGTATATATCTATACATATACATATATGTAATATAATATGATATATGTTAGAAAATAAACAAAATATCGTATGATTTCCTATTTCATACATTTGAAAATGATATACACAATGGAAGTGTATATGAATACAAGATATATGTCTGCTAAATTAGACAGTGATTTCTTTTTACCGAGCTGTTCCTCCTGCAAGATTAATTAAATAAAGTATGGCGAAGTTCTTCGATGAAACGTCGGTACGCATGCTTCGATGTTCTTCATGAACTGTTTAGTGCTAACGCGAATGCAGAATCATAGGATGCAAGCTGTATTTGCGAATATAATTTGTTTTATCAAGGATAGAAAGAATGGGCATACGTACACACACAGGCACACACGCACGTTTTCATTCGTAGATCAATTTGAATTTAACACACAGAGAAAATGAGGGTGGGAATCGTGCATAAAGGATCGAGCAGATGATAGATTTGTTCGGTATGGACTGTGTAGAAGTAGAAAGAGAAACGTCCGTTGTTCGATACTACTTTAGGACTTGGTGCGCGTTCTTCTATTAGCTCGTACTGCATTCAACTCGCGTTGAAAGAAAAGGAAAGCTTCTCTCCTTGCTTGTGTGCAATGTTCCTCCTAAAGCTGAAATTCTGCATGTTGACAATAATATAGAAAAGAAGAAGCGCGTATGGATGACCGATTGCTGGGTAAGTGCTAATTGGGCTAAAAAAGATCTCCAGTGGTGGCCTACAGGCCTAATCGATGCCTTGTTTATTTCCTCGTTTACCTTCAGGACTACATTGCTGGGCGGAGTATCATAGACGCCCACTTCGGACGCCATCACCATCATGTTATCCTTAGTGACGTAGAAGCGCGATGGGCGCAGGCCGTTTCTGCCAAACAAAAATTTAAAAAAGTCTTTTGTATTACCACCTCATTGTCGCGCATTAGTATCATCTGTGACTATATTTTCTTGTTCGTTTT